ATTAACGTCATTGTATAAAGTTTGAACAGTGGTCTCATGACCCCGTAACTTACTCAGATTGGCCAAATTGAATCACAAGACACGCCGCATTACCTATGAAATGAAGAAAAAAGAATATTAACGAAAGTACTATAGCAATTAAATTGTTTAATAAGGAAGTTATAGAACACTTATCTGATCCAACACTATTACTAAAAATTTAGCTAACCTAATTATTAGGACCAATTCTTTTTACACCTCGATCGTAGCCTTATCAGTATTAAGGTTTGGTTATTTTAGTTAGTGTTCCGGTTAGAGTGATTTGGTTAGTATTGGTAGTGAGTTGTCATATTCGCCCACATATTTCCCAATGCAACCCACACTTTCACAATGTAGGAAAAGACGTAGATTACCATACTCAGTGTTTTTAGTCATTCAACATACTAAGTTGGACGTGGTTGCAACAGAAAAGAAAAGACTTAGTAATAGTGACAGGAAAGAGAATTAGAACCAACCCGGAAGATACTTACCTGTAGTACTTGTCAAATATAACCGCTTTGAAAAAACGTGCTGAATTGGGAGATATTATCCTAGCCATTAGGCCTGCCTGGTTACACTAATAGAATCATTGTGATTCACTATAAAAATTTCGCATTAGTACTTTTACGATGACACAATATGTGGCTGAATTAGGTTGTAAAATTCAATAATTACATATAAAACCACTGTGAAACAACGTAGAAAACCTTCTACAAATTTCATAAAACCAAAATAAAACCTATGTTATTGACATAGTAAACCACTGCAAAATGTGCAGAAAGTCCAAAAAGGCTTTAAAATATCAGTTGTCCAACTCCAAGATAGCGAAATTGAAGCTTACACTTACTAACGATGTCGATACAAGAACAATAGCTCTAACAAATCACAACTGTAAACGACACGATGATTTCGACAAATGATAATGTAACGAAAACAAATTTCAATTCTTTAAAATAAAAAAAAACTAATTAGTACAAACAAAAAAATTATTTTTAAATGTCAATTTGTATAATTCGCAAATAAAATTTTTTTCAAGATAAATATTCTAGAAGTCCAGCTCACGATAATTAGTTCTTTTCGGAATTGTACACAAGTTCTATTTCTATATAATTAGAAAAAAAAACATTAGACTGGCTCTAAACAAGTAGATCATCAATGCAAACAAAAATTTGCATTTAATGCTTTCTATATGTTATTTTAGTGTCCAGAATGCAAACTAGAGTTTAAAAATACCATCCAGGGTATATTATAATAAATAAAAGTTTCTACTTGCCTTTCGAATATCAAAATTTTTTTCATAAAAAAAGATTATTTTGTCTTTACTTTGATTCAGTGATGGTTGTAGCATGTTTTTAAAGATCCAATAAAGCCTAGCAAAATATATCTGTCGATGCTTTTTCTCTTTTAATCCAAGAAATTAGAAAGCAAAGCAAACATGCATTGTTAATCACAACAATCATAAATAAACCGGAATGATGATGTACATGCGATGTCATTATTCTCGCTCGGATCTGTTTATTATTCGAAGAAGATACACTATGGGGGAGTGTGCCACGCTGTGGCTCTTTATTTATATATATGCCAATATATTACATTATGAAAATAACGGTAATACTGTATATGTATAAAATGTTGTACGAAGGTCATGTGACGAAGATTTACAAGAATCGGGCATATGTTATGATATGCCGCGTTTGGAGAGATGGCCTACGTGCATCAAAAGGTGAATAACATTTCAAAGAAAAAATGTATATATATATATACAGGTAAGTTTCATTGAGCATTGGGAAGCAAGCTACGAAGCAGATATGCTATCATCATCCTATTTCCTTCTTTCCATTTTTTTTTTTTGCATGTCCCCAAGCATCCCACATTTTTGTGTCTGATTTTTTTTTTTCTTGGAGGGGGGCCGAGAGGGATCACAGCATGAAAGAGTGAGAACAAATTTGGGCAGTGAAGAAAAAAGGCACTGCCGGTCCTAAGTTTCACAATTTCTCTTTTAATAGCCATTTCCAGTTTCATATTTGTTTTAGGGTTGGTCCAGGAGCGATCCTCATGATAATAACCTTAGCATAACTATCGTCATGCGTCAGGTCATTATTCTTACTCAGATCTGTTTATTATTTGAAGAAGATACACTATGGGAACAAAAAGAGAATCGTGAGAAAGTATACATGTAAGCATAATAAATTCTATTTCTCTGAATGTTTACTATCATGATATTCCTTATCATTATTTATATGCATATATTATATATCTATTTGTGTTGTTGTTTTTGTTTTTTTTCTTTTTTATATCTGTATCCTGCATTTCTAATTCCAGACTCAGTAATCCTTCATTTTTCTTTCTTTCTTTCTCTCCTTTTTTTTTTTTTATTATTATTATTATTTTTTTTTTTAAAGGGAGATCTATCTTCTATCTCTTTTATTTATAGTCAATTATACATATATAAGATGAATACATGTGAAAAAACTATATTATGAGAGATGGGGGTAAGAGTTACTTTACTCTCAACCTATTCTTTGCTAGAATGGTTGTTAAACCTCTAGTCTTCGAGAAGATGCATTAGAGAAGTTAGTCTATTGTTTATATATTTTATTAGTTTTCTTTCTATAAAAGATGGGGTCAAAGGCTTAGTTTTGTTTAGTATTGGAGTCTGTATTGGGGCCAGGGTTGAAAGAATTGAATTATGACTTGTTTTTCTAAAGACTAATCAAATTGTTTTGTATATTTCTGTAATAATGTTATGATGTATTAATGAAGTGTATTTGTGTTTATAGTTATTTGTACTAAAAGGTACTAAAGTATTTCTAGTAATGAGTTCTAGTAATATCTGCTTAGTTATATGTATAGTAATGAATGCTTTGACAAAAGCATCCAAATGCAAATATGGTATTTCTAATTTTTGTGAAGTTTTATATACTGTTTGTCAAACTAGAATTGAAAACCGTATGTGATTTTGGATACAAATTAATAGATAAACAATATTCTTAGAGGTACTATGTTATCTTGAACATAAGTGGTTTGGATATTTTTTCTTATTTCTCCAATACAGTAATAGGTAAGTTGAAAGTTCTTCAGATAGCAGTTTAATCTTGAAATTCTTGATTGCTGAGGATGATAGGTCAGTGTTTAAAGCTAGTAGTTTTTCTCTATAAGAAATATATTTTAGTATGAAAGTTCAATTAATATTGTTTTATGATATGTGTCAGACTGAAATAGGTTGTTGACAAAACTATGACAGTTGGTTTGTAATTTGATGAATATGTTTTAGAGTAGTTTTTAGCAAATATCCATATGGTTTGTTAAGAAGTCTTAGAACAAAACAGTTATATAGAAAATATTGTAACACTGGGTCTAATAAGAAAATTATATCTGTAGTTTCTTTGATTTTTATATTTTCATCCAGTATAATGTTGAGTTTCTGATTACATGAGAGTGCTTTTAGAATTAGAAAAAGATATGTGTACTGCTACTTGTCAAGTGCAGAATAGTTATAAGACTTAATAGAAGTTACCAAATTGATATATGTAATAAAGGTAGGATTGTCTATACAGATGTTTATTTCTGTATATGAATTGACTGTAGTAAGAATAAAGTTTAGTAAATTAAGCATCATGCTTATATGTAAATGCCATTGATTAGTAAAGCAACCAAAACAGATGTTAGTATTTTGTATATAGCATTTTGCTATTATTTGAGAATTGTTGTTTACTGCCTGTTGGCCGAAGGTTAAGTAAATTGTTAATGTTTTTATAATAAAGTTAGCTTCTGTTAATGTTTTCCAGAGGTTAATTAGAAGTTTTCAAAAGAACATAAAGGTCTTTCTAGTATTGGGTTTACATCTTGTGATTGCTCTCGAGTTATAATTGTTGATTTAATATAGTTTAGTACTCTTTTAAAATCCACAGTGTCTAAATGAATTTTCTTTTTGCAATCAATCTGCAGGTTGTATAATGATGTTGTTACATTGAAGTAGCAATACTTGGAGTAATATGATCGATTCCTTAGGTTATAGCCTATACATGCTGATATTGTGTTATTTGGTTTTAGAATGTAATGTTGAGTTTTGAGGACTTTGTTGTGAGAATTATGTATCTTGTCAATAATAGAATTATTTGTAATTATCTAGTCTTTTTCTTTAGGATTCCATTAAGACAAGATGTAAGGGTTTACATATGAGAATGTTGATGAAGGATTAATAGAGGCTACTATTAAGTTATGAACTATAAGAAACTAGTGTGAACAGCATCTTCTTAGTATCTTTTTAACATTATGATAAAAATTGTTCCACTCTAGAAGCTCTGAGTTAGTTGCATTTAGAAATTATTCTATACTAGTGATGTTATGATTGTTTAGCTTTTCTTTAATATAAGAACCTCTAGAATGATTTAGCAGAATTTGGTTTATTGAGATTCCAGTAAAGGTTTTAAGATAAGGCCAGTTGTCACTATTTCATAAAGTGCAAGTATCATTTGGCTAGTTTGTGTATTTAGTTGTAAAGCTGGAAAGATTGGAAGTTGGTTGAGAATAGAAATATTAGTAAGAGCTGAGTTTTGTAATTGTTATAGTTGTAGCTTTAAGAAGGAGGAATTAAAATTATGATGATTTAAATTTTTTTGAAATATCACTACTAAGAAAAAAAGTTAAGTCTAAACTAAGTTGCTTAAAGCATAGATGTCTAGGTTGAATAAAAATGAGTTTGGAACTCCCTAAACCAGTTTTGTTTTATGTTTAACTAAACTAGTGCAGATCTTGTTAAGTGTGTTAATTTGAGTATTAGAAAGAAATATGAAGTGCAATCTATAAAGCAAACTTGGGAAGATAACACTATTTATTATATAGATTACTTGTTTTTCTGTTATATAAGCAAATTGTAGCTTTTTAGATTAATTGTTGTCTCGGCTATAATTTCTTTTTAAATAAGTATTTGTTTTTTATTAGTAGAGAACCATACTTCTAGATACTTAAATAGTGTTCCATTGGTGATTGCTATTAATTGTTCATTTTCAAAAGTTATACTATTATCTGGATCTTTTGAGTTTGTTGCTAGAATTGACTTAGTAGAATTGACTTTTATATTGGCAACATTATAAAAGAAAGAAACTATATAGAGAATGTTGGTAAGAGAGGTTTTGTTAGGTGCAATCCACAAAGAGTCATTCATGTATGCTATTACTAAGGTATGAATTTCTTTTGGGTGAATGAATGGGATTTCTTCAATAAATCCCTAATATTTGATATGAATTCTAGATATGAGAGGGTCATAATAGATTTTTCAAACAAGTGGTGAGATTGTTTATCTCTGATCTACTCCATCTTTAACAGAATAGGATTGAGTTAGTCCTAAACTAGTAATTACTTTGTTTGTATGATGATAAAGCAAGTATGATAGCAAATTGATTGCTTTGTTGGATATGTGTATTCTTTCAAGTGATTTGCAAAGAGTTGGTATATGAATTAAGTCAAAAGCTTTAGATATATCCTAGACAAGATCTAGATTTCTTTTTGGTTTATAGTTGTGTCTTCTAAGATGTGAGTGAGTTGAGAAATAGGTTAAAGTATTAATTGATAAGAGAAAGCTGCAAAATTGTAAAGAGAAAGCACTTGGTTGTGAACTAGAATGTCTATTAAATGATTTGTTAAAATATTTGTAAAAATTTTTCTGATGTAGTCTATTAAAGTAATTGGACAGGTGGTATTTAGTTTGTAATTATATTATTGTTTTTTAGAAATCAGCTAAATATTAGCCTGTAATCATTGGTTTAGAACTATTTCTTGTGTTATGCAGCTATTGAAGATATTTAGTAGAACTGTAAGAGCTAAGAATAGTAATTGCTAAAGAACTTC